TCCCTGTAGGTTTGAATTCATACTCTTCTTTTGAAAGGCTGCACTCGCAAAACCAGAATCATCGACGTTGTCTACAATGCTTCTAACAATGAACTGGTCCGGACAAAGACCCTGGTGAAGAATTGCATCGTTCTCATTGACAGCACCCCATACCGGCAGTGGTATGAAGCCCACTATGCCTTGCCCCTGGGACGTAAGAAGGGCGCCAAACTGGTATGTTTGGGGACGTCATTGTCATTTTGAGTCCTTGCAGAGCGGAATCTCTGCCCTGTTAGAGGCAGTTAGCCATTGTGAGTGGACAGGGCCTGCCAGAATAGAGCTGGGTACCCATCAACAATAGTATTGATTGTCTGGGCTACATTCCTGTTGTCTCCTGGGATAAGTGTGGCTCTGTTAGTGAAGTGTTGAGTGCCACGGAGCTCTCTGTGAGGTATCGCACCCATTTGTGCACAAGGACCTGCCTGTCAATCTCTTTGGTCTTCTAATGATGATACCTTTGTCCAGTTCTGCTACTGAAGGGAGAGCGATGACATTTTATGATGCTGAGGAAGACTTTGCAGGTCGGGTCCTTGTGCTGGGGGATGATTGCTTTGAGAAGCAAAAGTGTTAAACTGTCGAGACCCATTGTCTTAAAATTAAAAGATTCAAACCCCAACTGCTAGGAGGCATTCAAACCCCCATTTGTAGCACTGAGCTTAAGGTTGTCTCCTTGCATTAAAACCAAAGCGTTCTTTACCTGAATGCTCTGCAGTTCAGAAGCCTGAGGAGACCTTGTAGCTTGTCTGCCACGGCTGCGTCACGCCAAAGTGCTCTCATTCTGTCTGGAGAGGGAAGGAGTGTGTGTTTGGTTTTTTTTTTTGAGGAGGATTAATTTGTTAAGAACGTTGGCAGCTTCGTCTGTCCAAAAGCACCCTTCACTAGGGCACTGTGCTTTGTTGTTTGTTGTCAGTAGTGACTCTAGGTAGCAACACTGCATTTCTTGGCCTTGAAAATGAAACACAGCACCTGGCTTTGTGAGGTTGAAGCATTTGTATCTCTGCCAGGTATGACTTGGGAAGCAGTACTGAGAATACAAGGGTCTCCTTCATATTTGTGGGGACTGCTGGCACTAGCAGAAAGTGACCATATGCTTCATGCTGTCTTCACTTGTCTTGTTTTTAGACTGCTGAAGAGGAGGAAATCTTGAACAAGAAGCGTTCAAAGAAGATCCAGAAAAAATATGATGAGCGGAAGAAGAATGCCAAGATAGCAAGCATTCTTGAGGAGCAGTTCCAGCAGGGAAAGCTACTTGGTGAGTCCCTTTCAGCGTCAGTGTGGGTGGTGATGAAGGAAGTTGAGGCACAAATGGTGACAGCAGTTCTTCGTCTTGGTGTTGGTATCATTTAAAGTTCTGCTCACTGTTACAAAACTTAGCTTGCAAGGTTAAATCCATGGGGTGTTCTCTGTGTCAGCAGGAGCATCTTTTGTGATTTTAATGTAGCTTGTTCTTTTATCTTCTGTGGAGATAACGCTGTTGTGACATGAAGGTGAAATGAGTTTCTGGAGCTTGAATTGGTACATGTCCCAGTCAGGCTGCTGGAGTTTATCGGTCCTGGCTAGCCTTTGAGAAAAATAATGAGACCCGAGACTTGGAAAATGAGCAAAGGCCGATGGAATGCACTATGTGCCAGACCAGTGTTGTATGAACGTGTGATGGCTCTGACCAGTTTCAAGTTCTGGCAAAGAGCTCAGTGTTCTGAAGTCTTCTGGTGATGAGACCTTTTAACCTGAGCGATGACAGTTTGGAGATCTGAAGAGGACTTCGTTAGGGACTCAGTCCGGCAGAGCAGGTTCAAGAGCATGATGCCTTTAGGGGAAAGCTAGCACGTAAACTGGTGCATCTGTTACTGATAGCTTGCTCATCCATGCTTGGTGTTGGTTGGTGTTTGTTCTGGGGTACTGAACTATTAAACTTTACCTGGATGACTTCTCTTTCCAGCCTGCATTGCTTCGAGACCAGGACAGTGTGGCCGAGCCGATGGTTACGTGTTGGAAGGCAAGGAATTGGAATTCTACTTGAGGAAGATCAAGGCCAGAAAAGGCAAATGAATAAAAACTGTTCTGCTGAGAGAACGAATAAATCCAAGAGTCTACCACAGTAAAGGGTTGTGTGCTCATTGGTGTGTGCAGGGTGGAGGGGGCTTGCATAGCTCCTCCTGCCTGTAAAGTGTGAAGAAGGATCTCTCCTGGAATCCCTGAGCACTTTTGTGTCTTCAGGCAAGCCCTGATCCAGCATGGTCTCAACTAAAACATCTCCCTGGGTTCTAGAGCAGTGACTTAATGGCCTGAGTGGATGGGGAAAAGAGTTGTCGGACTTGGCTGAACTGGAGAATTTCCAGTATGGGAAACCTATGTGCAGGAGGAGGATGCAAGTGTCTATCCCCACTAGAGTTCTGGCTTTCTAAGAGCTGCTGGTGTCTGGCTGGGCACGCATCCCCCTTTTCCTGTGGTGTGGTAGCTCAGCACAGGCCACGTGTGGGGTTTTGAAGTGAGGGTGATGCAGAAAGGGGCTGGGCTGCTTCTGGTGAAAGTAGTCCAGGGTGCAGCGTGACAGCACCATGGTTCTTCATACACTACATTTGTGCAAAGTCTGGCTGAAAACTTTTCCCTTACCCCTCTGGCCTCTGCTGCCCACGTCATTCCGGTTAGCTTCTTTAACCAGAAGTGGCTGCACTGCTCAGTGACCGGCTGGTCTTTCCCTGACCTCCTTGGTCTCCTTGCAGTGCCAGATCAATTCCTTCTAGCAGAAGGGCCAGGCACTTGTGGTCTGTCCCTTTCGAAAGCTGGGTACACACTCACAGGTTTCTGCCTTGTAACCGGTGGTGGGACTGGGGAGCTCTGGTGGACAAAAAGCTGTTTCTGGATGTTTTGGGGTGTGTGATGTCATTCCTTGGGGCTGCCTTCTTTAAAGAAAGCCAGCACGATGGGTTCCTACTTTTGGTTGCTGAATGTTTTGTGCAGGTATCAAGGTGAAGTTGGGAGTCCAACAGTGTACTCGATAGTTCTGTTAAGTTTTCCTTTGTGGTGCTTGGACCTGGCTGTTGTGTGCAGCAGCAGGAGGTGCCAGTGGGCTTGGATGCCCTGGGCTGTGCTGGTTTCATCCTGCCTTCTGAGAATTGGTCTGTGCCATGGGTGGAGGGACACACCAACCGCATCAGGGAGCAGTACCTGTCACCCTGGATGACCACAGCAGCACGGTTTTGCCGTGGCTGGTGCTGCCTTGAGTCTGCAAACAGCTGTGCCTGCCTGAGTGCAACAGATTGGCAGGTTTCTGGAGTCCCTGGTGGTGAGACCTGGACTGGGCGGAACGTTTGCACAAGCACATTCTTTCTCCATGGTGATCCAGGGTAAACTTTCCCTGGACTCCAGCAACGCCTGCTTTCCAGAGAGCTGAGGCGGAGGCGATAAAGTGCACTCGGAGGGGTGCGTCACGTCGTGGCTGCTTCCTCTGAGCGTGTTTCTTTTCTCCCCTCGCCCCTCTGCAGAATGCAAACAGGAATTAGGGTGTTTCTGAGGGACTTTGTACAGATGGACAAATAGGCTTGAGGAGTAAGTGCCAGCTTGGTGTCAGCTGTAAACCTGGCCCCTGATGAGCAGGATTATGACTCATTCATCAATGCTCATGAAGTTACTGCTCTGAAAAATGCAACTGCCAAGGACAACAGCCTATGGGAACAAAAGCAATGCCTGTGCCCCACCGGAGCTGTGATAAAGGTGTGACATGGGAACGGGACGCGTCAGGTGTGTGGCAACTGGTTCCCATGGTGTCATAGGCTGTGGGACCTTGTCTGGTTTGGTGGCAGCATGTGTGGTTTCTGGTCTGGCCCCATGGATGTGCACAGTGATTTACCTGCCTGCGAGGGGGCAAGCCTGCCATGCACTGAGCCAGAAAGTGATGGGCAGGGGCTGGAGTTTAATGTGACTGGTTTTATGAAGTGCCAAAGCCTTGTCTAAGGACCTTGCCTGCTTCTGCAGGTAGATGCGAAGGCTGTTTTTAAAAAGCTGCTTTTCATACAATGAGCACCTGGCAGCATAACCAGAGTGAGGTCACTCGTCATCCTCAGTGCTGCACCTTGCTGTGGAGCGGCTCTCTCAGCTCCATGCAGTATTAACTTTGGGATATTTTCACAGTACATGGTCCAACCCAGAAAATAACCTCGTGGTTACACTTTAACAGGTCCAGCCGTGACCTGGAGGGTAGCAGAGTAGGAGCTGGGCTGATTTGCTGAGGGGAGACAGGAGCTTTAAAGAAAAAGTGGGTTTGTGGGAAAAGGGGCTTGCAGGAAAGTAGAGTTTTTTAACAGCTCTGCTAATGTTCTCAGGGAAAACGCATGTCTTGGTGGGAGAATCCTACATGGGCTGAAAGCATCCTTCTGTTTTGTTGGGGGTTTTTTTCAGGCTGTATCACTAGGTCTCTTACCCCACAACCGTCAGTCTTTGGGGCTGTACTTTTTTTCTCTCAGGAGATCATGCACACTCCTTGACAATATCCAAGATTACCCGCTCTTTGCGTAAATGTGGTGTCCCCGCTGTCTCACTGCTAGGGTTGATTTGCACCAACACGGAAGAACCAAACAAGCTGGGGTTGGCAATATCTTTATTAATATCGAGGGGACATCTCTGTCAAGGTGTTTGTCTTCTGCAAAGCTAATGTCCTGTCCCTTACTTGGGGTCTGGGCTGTGGGAGAAAGGAGTGAATCTGGCCAGCAGCAAGTCAGCAGCATCATCACACAGATGGACTGAATGTGCGGTTTTGGTGCTAACAGCGATGTGAAAGGCTGCCCAAACCCACCAGGATCTTCCCATCAGCCTGGGGACACGTCTAGGGGCTGGGTGGCAATGTCCTGCTTCTGGATGGGAGATCTTAGAGGGGTGTCTGGGGACATGGAGCTGATGCTGGCAGTGCCTTGGGGTGGGGACAGCTATTCTACCACAAGGAAAGGGATGCTTTTGGGACAGCCTCAGGGCTCCCAGGCCTCTGGCCGGTCAGTCCCAATGCTGTCACTGGATGATGCCTTCACCTGGATCAGTGGCAGCTCCTTTGTCTGTGTTTCAGAGGCCACCAGCAGCTGGTTTCCCCCTCTGCGACCACCAGGTGTGGTGGGCTCACTTGCCTGGCTCTCCTCATCCTCTGTCTCCTCCTCCTCGATGCGGGCCACGGACTCGGGGTCCTCAGAGCGGTTGGGGTAAGGGGACGGGAAGCCACCATCTGCACGATTACGCCGCAGGTGGGGGTGACCTCGGCTTCCCCAGCCGAAGTTTTTGATGCTGATGGCAGGGGATGCAGCAGTGATGAAGCGGCTGAGCAGGGGCGTCTGGGTGCGTGGCACGCTCGGTGAGGCCTCGGCCGGCTGGCTCTGCTCCATGTCATCGCACACACTGGGGTGATGGGGACAGGCTGCCATCCTCCACAGGGATGCCCAGCACTGCTCACCACCTCCATCCCAATACATTTGCAAACAGGGAGCAGCTCTGGGAGGCCACGTCCCTGCAGCTCAGCCATCACCCAGTGCAACCCCCAAGCCTCACAGGGGCTGGGCAACTCGCTCCCAGGGGAGATTTGCTGTTTGCCTGCTATAATTGGGCCCAGGAGGAGGTGGGGGACAAGCCCGCTTGTGCTATTGCTATCCTGAAGCATTAACCCTTTTTTCCTCCAGCATGAGGGCTGTGCCGTGCACTCACCGCATGTCAAAGGTGGAGCCCAGGAATGAAGGCTTCAGGGTCTCGGCGGCTGTGGCCGTGGTGTAGGGGGGCTGAGCTGTGGATTCGTTCCAGTATTTGTCCTTCACAGCAGGGGGCAGGTTCTGGTACATGTCATCCACAGAGAGCAGGGACACCTGGGCACAGCAAAGGCAAGGGACAGGTGACTTTGCACAGACATGAGTAGGACTGGTGGCTGCAGAGGTAGGGCTGGGCCCTACAAGGGGCCAAGGAGGCTCCGGGCTCATCTCCTGGCTGCATTTGGATTTTTCCCCTTTGGAACATTTTTCTTGGAGGTGAGGGGCAGAGCAGCGGTGTCAGGCTGCTGGATGTCCCTTGGGGGGTGCTGACCCTGCTGTGGGGAGCAGACACACAGAAGGACAGGGATGGAGGGACAAGGTGCAGCCATGCTTCCTTGCACGGAAATTTGTTTTGGACAAAGACCTGTGTGGCCAAGAGGCAGGCTAGGGGTTGGCAGGGCACAGGTCCTACTGCCAGGAGTTGGGGACATTGCAGTGCCCTGCTTGCAGCAGCCCCAAACAATATCAGCCTGGGAGAGGACTCACCTGCAGGTTCCTGTCTATCAGCTTGTTGGTCTCAAAGTCATCATCGTCTTCTCCGAAGGGGTTAATGATCTGCTCAGCAACCTGGGATGGAAGGCAGACAGGTGAGACATGGGAGCAGGGACAGGGACACCTTCTCATGGAGCTCTCCATCCTTCAATCCACCCATGGGGCACATGAAACATGCAGAATTGGAGCTCTGTGGTGCCCTGGTGCAATGCCTGGGCCCAGGGAACTTGTCCTCAGGGGCACGATGTGGTTGATGCCATGCCCTGGGCCAGCCACCATTGCAGCCCAGGGGATGCCGAGGGCCACCTGGCTACCTCTGGCCCACAAAGTAAAGCCCAGCTGCCTGCCCATGTCTCACCTTCAGCCAGCCAGCATAGAAGAAGAACTGGAGGAGGGTGGAAAGGGGGATGTACATGTCCAGGTCTGCCTCCTGCCCAGGGTCCAGTGGCTCCAGGAACTGCCGTCCGATGAGGCAGAAGGCAAAGAAGGAGTAGACGGCAATGGTGACCACCTGTGGGGAGCATGGCTCAGCCGGCGGTGAGGCTGGCAGCCGAGGGGGACATTCGGCATAGGAGCAGCGAGGATGTGAGAGGTTTGGCTGATCATTGATGCTCGTGTGAGCTTAAAGCTAAACCCTGCTCTGGGGAAGTACTTTTAGGAAGGGAGGTGCTCCCCATCGGAATTCAGGGCGGGGGCTGTAGGGCTCCTCTGTCATTGTGGGGTGGAAGGAACTGGAAACTGGGTTTATATGGTACATGCCCCTGGGGACACATGAGTACCCACCTGCGTGTACACCAGGGGGATGCTGATCCAGTCATAATGGAACAACATGCTGCACTTGGCCCGGTAGAGGTTCAGCTCCTGGGCAGAGAAGACAAGGAAGCGGTAACTCAGACTTTGCACAACACCCACCCCCGGCCCAGCGTCTGGTCCCCTCT